GAGGCTGTCTGGTTGTGCTTTTCTTTTGCAAAAGAATTGATTTTTTGTCCGTTGAACAAGGCAACGGTCATAAAATGGACAAAGCTGCTGACTTTTGTGTGTAGTGTGTCAGACCATAACGGCAGGGAAATCAATTTTGTCCAAGGAAAATCACGCCCAGACAGGACCTTAATATAAATTTGTGTATCGCACGGGGAAAAGATTAGTTATTATTCCTACTAGTGACTTGTGAGAGGGGGAAAAAAAATGTAATAACAACACGGTACTTCATCAATTGAGTAAAAGTGTAAAACAAGAACAAAAATAGCAAAATTTTACCCGTTCCCAGCACCAAACCGGATCCGCCTCCCCCTCCGCCACCGCATTACCCTACTTGCACCGCAGTCCCCTTCCGCATCCGCCCCGTTTTCCCCCTCTGCATAATTTATCAGAATCAGTTATTTTCTCTACATTAATTTTCAGGTCGGGGCAGATATTATATGAAGTTTCGAAAATGCAAAATTCAAGGTCGCTGTACTTTTTCTTGCTGATTTTCATTATAATACTCAGTTTTCCAGTATTCACTCATGGAGATGCGTAAGTATTATATTCAACATTTCTTTTCAAGATTTAAAGTTATTGCTAGGTAAAATTCCGCTTAGGTCTGGCATCGTTTTGCTTGAATTAAGCACCAAATTGTTTTTTTTTTTTTTTTGCTGAATTCTGCCAGTGTTTGATGAAGTCGAGCTTTTGAGATTGATTTTATCACTAAGGAAATACAATTTTAAAATCCGCTTCGACAATTTTGTTGTTCGTTTTCTTTTTCGTTCTATTGTAGCAGAACCAAATAGCATATTTGGCTAAGATTCAAAATAAGTACAAAAACATATTTGGATGAATAACTATTTTCTTATTGTTGAACCAGTTATATCATCTAAATATTATCTTTAACACGGTCCTCACAATGGACGAGAATTATGCCGCGTTTGGGAGAGATTTTGATTTTTCTACGGTAAATCAATTCTCATTTTTAACCACACATTTTTCAATAAAATAATATTTTCCATCACATCAATACTTTTTTCTTCTTTTTCAACCATATATTTCCCATCATATTACTATTTAAAAATCAATTNTTTCCCATCATATCACTATTCAAAATCAATTCTTCCCCCAAAAATCCCTCCCGAACAAGCTTTCCCATAAAAGCCTAACACATGCATAATTCAATTAAATGGGTGATTGAACCGACGGCCTTTGCCTCTAATACCATGTTGAAGTACTTGATTGGGGTAAATGTTCATCTTTTCTACACTTACCTTTACTCAAAAAAGTTGTTTATTGAAAGTAGCTCTCTCCTTAGTGTCACATTAAGTAACTTATTTTCAATTTTTAGATTATTAAAAAGTTACTTATTTTGAAATTTACTTGTTTGCTTATGATTGAACCTTTTATTTCTGGGCAAACATGTATGAGCCTTATTCCTTACTAATTGATTTAACAACAATTGACATGTTGAGTGTTGTCTTGTTTTGGATATTTGGAAGTCTTACACTATAATTCACATAATTGACAGTAAAGTTTTGCATGTTGGTGAGGAATTATGGAAGGAAACTTTACCATTACAAATGGGTTCACGCCTTTACGAATTGAAAGGGCTAAAGCCGCATACTTGGTATGAAGTGAAGATATCATATCCTGCTTCTGTATGTATGTTGAATTTGTATCTTTTTATTTTCCTTTTAAAATGTTAAGAATGGTTAAAAACTTGCACCAATATGATTAAATGAATGACAGATACCCTCTAGTTTCTCTTTACAATTAAAGAGAGGTAGTTCAGACTTGGGGCTGAATATGGGAAGAAAATTGCTGAATACAGAAAAGTTGATTTTCAAGACTGATGGAATAGATTCATTCAGTGACCAGGTTCGATAGTGCACCACTGTTTTATGGATATTGTCCTATTCTCTCCTGAGGTTTTGAATTTTGGAGTCCCTTTCTTTTTCAGCAGGGATTGCATGTACTGGTAAATGTTGAGCCTGAAGGGGTTGTTGCAATACCGGGGAAACAAGAGAGGAAATATGTCATATTTAATATAGGTAGCCTAAACTTCTGATATGGTTCGTAGCATATTGCATAGCCTCATTTCATGTTTGTTTTGACTAATAGCAATGATTTTACCCAATATAACGCTAAGAATAGCTAGTATATATTGAAGAAGACTCCCTTTGTTTGATGAGAAATAAAATGAAACATTGAGAATTCTAACACTGAGCCAGATATTTTTAAACTAACAAAAGAAAACTAAGGCTGTGCTGTACCAAAATTTTTAAGGAGATAATTAGCTATATTGGAGAGAATTGTGCTTTGGTCGTTAGAGATTGCTATTCCCATTTAAAGTTATTCTTATCTTCGATAGCGTATAATTTTTGGTTGGGTACTCTAAGCTTTATGACATTATTGTCTACCTTAATCATTGAACTAGTAGTCACTTGATTAATATTACGTTTCTGTGGATGAATCTAGGCGATTGTGTCTTCCATTGGATAGCGTGCCTATAGTTTAGTTTGTTTTAATAAGCCATAGGATTGAAAATTGAGTTTAGCTAAGCTACTTGAAGCACGGCTCAACGTTTTAGTGCCAAATTGCTAGAGATTGGTTCACTGGTTAACGAACCCATGAATGTATTCATTTTAGTGCTGACTTCATTAACCATAAATGTATCCAACGGCTATAATGATTCTAAAGGAAATAATTAATATTAAAAGGAAATGATAGATTGTCCAAGGGCTCCTTTTCTTTATGGTAGATTGACAATTGATTATATCAAGCTGATCTGTTCTAAGTTGCTGGGAATTGATGGGCATGCATTTTAGATGTAATTATATTGAATCTCCTATTATTTCCACCTATTTTTTGTTTCGATTATCATCTGCCTTCCATGCATTTGGCGCTGCCCATTACTTGTCTCATAATATAGCATGTGATCTATGACAAATTCTAACATTTTTCCATATCTACTGCAGTTTGTGATGAGTTGTTTCTTGGCGTTCCTCATGAAGCCTGGTACGTTGTATTTTTGGTATTGCTCTGCTTGGGCTTAGCTGTTGTCGTCCCGAGTTTTCTTCCGCAGTTTCTTCTACCAAAGAACGGAAGTCCATCTCTAACTGATATGGCGGCTACAAAGAATTCATAACTTATAGAATATTTTTACTTAGTTTAGGTGTTCTGTTTTATATATTTGTCCGAGCAGTGGATTTTATTGCAAATACTAGACAGTTTTGCGAACAATGTAAGATTGTTAACATCCTATATTAGGTATTGAAGTACTATTATTCAACATATTGAAACATATTGCCTTCGAAATTTGAAGGCCATTACTTTATAAGAAATTGAGTCTGTTACGCCTCGCCACCGAAGCTCAAAGTCAAATGTGTCACGTAGCAATTCACGTATATAGAAAGTCAACAGAAAAGTCAACAAAGACCCAAGTGGTCAAAATACAGCGAAGAGTTGTGCAGATTATCGAGATACTACCTTACTCAGCTAAGTACTGCACCTGGAATAAGACGCTGCTTAAAGAAATGAGGAAGGAGCTGAAGCTCTCTATTCAAAGGATTGGTTTCGAGGCTCTTAGTTCATCCGAAGCTCATGAGCAGAGGTTGTCTCTTGCAAGATATTTGAGTATCTTTTAGAAGTGATTGATATAACACTTGTAATAAAGGATGTCGGGGTGTCAGCATATTGTGCACGGCGACTGACCACATATCAATGTATTAATTGTATGAATAAACAATTATGTGATGCCTCAACTTAAGAGATGAGACCACGTGATTCTAATCCAACAAAATCATGTCGGCCTAGACGGTATAAATATATCTTCTTTTTAACTTAGAAGGGGTTGGAAAAATTGGAATTAGAAGGCTGATCTTTTCATGTCTTGAACTTTCAAATATTGAATCAATAAGAAACATGATGAAATTTTCTTACAAGCAATTGTAGTTCCATTTTACATCATATACTTAGCAGAAAAATAGTATAAGTCGATAGTTTCATAATCTACAATATACCTTTGTTTTTTCTATCCTTCCACATATTAGCAAGGTCTTTTGTTTGTCGTTTTGTCCTTGTTTGGTGATCATTGTTAGTTTGATCACCTTTGTTTCACCAGTCGGAATTCGAATATTTTTGCCTTTCGTCGTGAAACCCCACGTCCCAAATCTGTCTCTTTTCTCACTGTTTCTCCGATAGAAACGTGCTGAAATTGTTTCGACGTTGCAAGAGTAAGCTCGACATCTATTGACTCATTTTTCGGAGTCAACAACATCATTTTTTTAAGTCATTCGACAATTTAACTCTGTGTATAAGCTTAAGGACATACAAAAACGTATTACTAGTAAGTAAACTTTATGTGGAGGTTTTCGTAAAAATGGAGCTAAAATTGAAGTTGATAAAAGAGTACTAAAAATTCGTCCATTGCCATATATAGTGCTATTTTTTGTTAAATAGGAGATTTCTAATATTTTTGGATGTTTACTAATATATAGGAGAAGGACCGAACAAATTCGTCCCAAAAACATTTGATGGTCTATTACTCTATTTACTTCGTATGAGTAAGCAATAACCCCGACTTTAGTTTAAACTGGTATAGTCGCACCGTAGAGAAACCTCCTCCTTCTTCCAATATAATGCTCTTCTTTGAAGCAGGAAAAAGAATGACACTGAATCCAAATGATCTCTGTTCGCAAACCCTACGATTTCTCCATCAAAATATTCTTCTCAACTTCAATATCAAAATCAAAATCAACTCCCAATTGGAGAATTCAAATCAAAGAAACCCAACTAATCTCCCAAGTTTCCGAAATCTTGTTACAAAGGCACACCAAATTTTGGAACCCACTTCTTAAGTCCCTCAAATTTTCATCCAGTTTTAGTCCTCCTCTCTTCCTCCAAATCCTCAAGAAAATCCAAATCCACCCTGATGTATCCCTTAATTTTTTCAAATGGGCCAAGAAAAATCTCAATTTTGAACCGGACCTCCGATCACTGTGCAAGATGACCCGGATACTTTTCGGGTTCGGACTGTCCAAACCCGCAAGACCCGTATTGGATACATTGGTTCAAGTCTATCCTCCAAGCCTATTTGTGTCTTCATTGATTAAAGGTTCTGACTTTCGCATTATATCCTCTACTCTAAGTGCTGTTCTTGAATGTTATTGCCATAAGTGTATGTATTTGCAAGCTTTGGAGGTTTATAGTAAGGGAAAGGATTATGGAGTAAGAGTTACTATAGATAGTTGTAATGCATTGCTCAAGTTGTTAAGTGATGAAAATGAGATGAGATTGGCTTGGTGCTTTTATGGTTCAATGATTAGAAATGGGGTTTTGGAGAATCAGTTTACCTGGTCTTTGATTGCGAAAATTTTATATACAGATGGAAAATTTGAGAGAATCGCCAGGATTTTAGACATGAGAATATATACTCCTGTGATGTATAATTTGTTAATTGAGTGTTATGGTAAAAAAGGAGAGTTCAGAGCTGCTTTTGGTTATCTTGATGAAATGTGCAATAAAAAAATTGAGCCTAGTTTTAGTGCTTATAGCTCGATTCTTGACGGGGCTTGTAAGTATCAAGATGCAGGAGTGAGTGATAAAGTATTAAATTCTATGGTAGAGAAGGGTTATCTCCCGGAATATCTTGTTTCTGAGTATGATTTTATTATTCAGAAACTTTCTGATTTGGGAAATACACATGCTGCAGATTTCTTTTTCAAGAAGTCTTTTGATGAGAATATCCAACTTCAACATAATACCTATGGATATATGCTTAAATCATTATCCAAGGAAGGCAGGGTGAAGGATGCAATTGCGCTGTATCATATTATGCTGGGAAGGAAAATTTTGGTCAATGAGAGTTGTTATATTGCATTTACAAGTGTTCTTTGCAAAGAAAGCCCATCAGATGAAGTTAGCAAATTGTTAATTGATGTGATAAGAAGCGGTTCCTCTCCTGCAGCAGAACTTTCTGAATATATTAATAGACAGTGTGCTAAAGGTCGATGGGGAGAAGTAGAAGAGCTCTTGAACGAAATGCTTGATAGAGGGTGTTTTCTAGATTCTTTTTCATGTGGTTCATTGGTGAAACATTACTGCTTAAGCAAACAAATCGATTCAGCCATAGCGTTGCATAATAAGTTGAAGGGAATTGAAGGGACTTTGGATGCAAGAGCATATAATGTACTTCTCACTAGGCTCTTCGAAGAGAGAAGGGTTGAAGAAGCACTCGGGGTGTTTGAATACATGAGAACACATAAAATGTTGAGCAGTGAAAGTTTTTCACTTATGATAAGAGGTCTTTGTCAGGGAAGGGAATTAAGGAAAGCCATGAAATTACATGATGAAATGTTAGAGCTAGGACTTAAGCCTGATGGAAGAACGTATAAACGACTAATTTCTGGTTTTGGATAACTCCAATCCCCTGATCGGATCATATTCATTTCTGATCTCTCATTGTTGCTGTCTGGAGATCAACGTATAATACTGCTTGACATGCCCTTTTGATTGTCCACTCATTCCTCTGTATATGATCGAACAAGTTGATGCCAGAGAAAGACAAATTATTCTAGGACATATCAACACAAGTAATTAGTTTCTGTTCTCTCAAGTCTTCAATGAAAACTCGGTCCAATCCTTTACTGAAAGGGTTGAGTTGTAAACAGTGCAGATATCTGTTTTCTCCATTTATCATAATTGCTAATTCTTGTTAAGACAGTATTTGTTCAAGGCCCAAATTTAAGACATGGATGATAATGACAATGAGTCATTTCCACTCACTCTAAATGTGATTCATTGAGCCAAAAGAGGTAAAAACAAGAAGGGTTGCGCCAACTACTTTTGGTGATGCTATCATTGATGGTGTGATCCATAATTCATTGTATAATGGATAGAATGGAGAATATAACACAGCAAATATTTGGATCTCTTTTTTTATTTTTTTTCTTTTGAAAGGTTTTTAATAGATATCAGATTGGCCCAAGCCCACGACCCGTGCCGAGCCTCGGACGGACGGACAGCGGCGAGGCACGTGCATGTGGGCTTTGGCCCAACTTACTAGCAAGTAGGTTCTCTCTCATTCAAAGACTATTGGTACCCCTTGGGGTCCAGCAAATATTTGAATCTCGTACAATAATTGTGAGGTTCGAATAGAGCTTGCCTAGGATTGAGAATCAAGGATGAGCTTTTAGCTTTAGAGATATTTGTTGAGAAACCTATTAGGTTTGAATACTTTAAAGGATGTGAACTGAATTTGTTTTTATGCTTTTAGAAGAACATTGTAGTGTGGTCACACATAATTGTGTTGAATGTTTGGTGAATGTTGAGAACTTTGTAAACTTGTTGTAAATTGTGTCATATTCCTATCAATATAGTTATTATTTTTTTTATGAAATGGGGTTTGCTTGTTCTTTACAAAATAAGCGAAGGGAATTATTTTTCTCTCCACCTTCAATTCATTACTACATTTTCTATAAAATTCGAAACAATTAAATCATTAATGATCACAACTCCCTTAGACATGAATTTCAGACGTTCTTGATCACGCGACACATCATCAGTAGTGTTCACTACCCAAAAATACCCATAATATTTTGAGGAATATTTCAAGATCCAATCTGAAATTAAGGAAAGCAGCTGTCTGAATGTGACTCAACACATTTCCATATCAAGAAATGCCAAATTCTATGCATATCAAACGTGGCTCCAACAATTGAACAAACTTGCTTATACAATAATACAGCACATAACTGGCATCATTAATAAGGTTGTTGAGTTTATATATTTGTGTTCTTTGATAATTATTCTGAAAGAAAATGGGAAATAAAACTGATTACAAAAAATCCCATTTGCGTTAAAAAGGTAAAAACGATTCTGGGAAATGGACTGATGGCCATCAAGAATAAAGAATGAAATGTTTTGGACACTTGGGAATTGGGATCCTAAGGTTGTATTGCTTTATATTATTAACTAAGAGCAAGTTTGTTGGGTATTAAAAAATACGATTTTAATTTGTTTTTTCTTACATAATGTTGTGTAGGACTCGATTGTCCACTTTACCAACGAAATATTCAAATATTAGGTTTTAACTTGTTATTTTATTTTTGTCCAATTTTCTATAGTTATGACCGAATACTATCTCTCAAACACTTTAACAGAAGATAAAATATATCGATTCTTGGACTTAAATTTTTTATCTAGTGCGACTTTATATTGAACGATCAGTTAAGCTAAAATGACGGGCTAAATAATTCTACAATATCTTATTTTTTAGGTATAAAATTAAAATCTATGGTAAAATATTTGATAATTATTCTGAAAGCGGATAGGAAATAAATCCAATTACAAAAAATCCCTATTGAATTAAAAATGTAATAATAAAAGATTCTGGGAAATGGATGGATGGCCATCAAGAATAAAAAAAATGTTTTGGACGTACACTTGGGATCCTAAAGTTATATTGCTTTATATTATTAACTAAGAGCAAGTTTGTTAGGTATTATTAAACAGGATTTAGATGTACAAAATATGCATTTAATTTATTTTTCTTCCATAATGTTGTCTAGGACTCGATTGTCCACTTTACCAACAAAATATATAAGTACTATGTTGACTTGTTATTTTCTTTTTGTCCAATGTTCTATAATTATCATTAAATGCGATCTCACCAACGCTTTAATAGAAGATAAATATATCGAGTCTTGGATTTAAGATGTTTTATCTAGTGTGATTTTATATTGAATTATCACTTAAGATGAAACGACAAGCTAATTAATTCTACAATATCTTTACTTTTTTAGGTATATATATAATTAAAATCTGTGGTAAATTATTTGATAGTTATTCTGAAAGCAGATGGAAAATAAATCAATTACCAAAAAAAAAAAAAAATGTAATAATAAAAGATTCTGGGAAGTGGATGGATGGCCAGCAAGAATAAAGAATGAAATGTTTTTGACAGTTGGGATCCTAAAGATACAAGTCTAAATTACACCTATCCATGCTTTTTAAACTTTCAATTCAAAAATCAGGTTTGAAAGTTTTTTATTCAAAAATCAGAAAATTTAAACTTCTTAATATTATAAAATTAAATTACCCATACCTACCCACCCTCAACCTCACAAAACCCTAATTAGTGTTTTTGCTATTTCATTTTTCGCCCACGCCCACACTTACACTCGTCCCCACCCCATACCTAGCATCGGCAATCGTCGCGTGATAGGCTCATCATCAGCAATAAGCGCATCGACGGTGCATCTGCTTCTCTGTGGCACGATCTCTCTCGTCTTTTTTTTTTTAGGTCTTCTGCACCTGTTTCTCCATTGGTACGATTTGTCCAGGCGCCGTCGTCGCACTGTTCACCATTCGCAAGCTCTGCTGATGGTGTTGGTGGTGCACATGTGGTTGTGGTTTGTGGCAGAGCGACGATGTTGGTGGTTTACAACAACGTACGACGGTGCAATAGTGGTGGCGGTGGCGGTGGCGGTGACGGTGACGGTGAGGTGGGACGAAGAGTTTGTAATCAATTATTTGAATGTTGTGACTGATAAATTGGTTCATTTGTAATCAATAAATAATATGTAACTTAAAAGAATGTGTAATTGTGACTGGAAATTTGGTAAGTTGTGATCAATTAATTCGATAATTTGTGAATGAAAAATAATTAATCTGATAATTTGTGACCGTGAAATAACAGTGGTTTATAAAATTTATGATTTGTAACTGATAAAAATTTTGATTTGTGACCCAAAAATAATTTGTTATGAATAAAATTTTTTATTTGTAACGAAGAAATAATTCTTAATCAATTAATTCGCTAATTTGTAACCAAATTATATAGAATTGTGACATTAATATATTTAATTAATAAAATATATTTTTAAATAATTATTTCATAAATAAAATGTAATAATATCTTATTTTTGAAATTCTAAACCTTATTTCTTAGTTTTGAAATGGGTAATAGTTAAACTCTTAGATATGAAATTTTTCCGAGATATAATGCATTAGAATATATTAAAGGCCAACGTATTTGGTTTTGCTTGTTACCAACTAATACTATTTCATGAACCTTTTAAATATTTAACTTGGAAATAAAATTATTTTTATTAATGTTTTCAGAATGTGTCTCATATCTAAGTCTCTAATACACTGCACGTAAAATTTTCATAATTTGTGAGGCGTCAAAACTTGAATCTATAGTTTCGTCCACAGCTAATACTTAAGCTAAAATAGCGAATTAATTTATTCATTAACGTTCTTTTGTTATGTATAAAAGTAAATTTTGAAAAATACGAAAATTTGGTGTAGTAATTACGGTTGGGAAGAAGAAAATAATTGATTGCGCAGAAATAAGAAAAAAAAATCTCTTATGAAACAAATAAAAAATTTGTTAAGTTAAAAAAAATAAATTAAAGTTCCTATAAATTCAAACGAAAACAAAGAATTAGTTCTTCGAATTATAAATGAAAAAAGTTCAATAAATAAAATTCGAGAATTTCTTATTCAGTTGAAAGTTTGTCTTCAAATCCACCACTCACCCTTGTTTTGGTAGGTTTTCGTGGTTGTCCAAAACTCCATTTTCTCTCTCCAACTCTCTCTTCCTCTCTCCTCTTCATCTTCCTTTTCTCTTTCTTCTATCTCTCTCTTCTTGAATTACACCCTTATTATTTGCTTCTTTCTTGATTAATCTAAGAACCCTTTATCCCATTTTTGTTTTGCATGTATGCTTATATAACTATGCATATACATACCAAAATCATCTGAATGAATTCTGGGAAATGTAGCCGCAGCGGGAGGAGGAGCAGTTTCTGTATTGTATATCCCTCTCTGTAAAGGTAAGATTCTACATGCTGTCGAAAGTAAATCTTTAAAAAAGTTACTTTTAAGCACAACATTATCGTATTGTATATATTACTTGGTGTTTATGTATTTTATTGTAAATATATTTAGATACCAAAAAGCATTGATAAAATACCATTCTCATAAGGTAGGTTGTCTCTTTCTAAAAAATCAATCCTTCGTGCACCTGATTTGATGCCGAAATTCTTTTCTTTCTGCTTTTTCATATTCATTATTTTCATGGAAAAAGGTTAAAAATATATGTTATTAATCATTTAATGTGTTTGCTTTTCAAATATGCAAAGGAACACTTCTCTTCGATTTTGGTTTGGCCGTTCTTTCCTCTAATTGTGGCTCGTATCCTTCTCTTCAATGGGCACAAAAATGAAAGGGATCTACAAAGGCTTCAAATATACTTTATCTCAATTCTTTGGTAATTTCCTCACATTTGTATATACCTTTGTTATATATATTTGGTTTTACGTCCTACTTTTAACCTACCGCAACCTTCCTAGTCGGGTGATTTTTCGGGCTAAGATGAAAAATGGTTTTTTTCTTATAGTTGTGAAGGAGCGTGAAATGGAGATTGGCTTCCCAACGGATGTTAAGCATGTGGCACACATTGGGTGGGATGGCCACTCCGGTAGTGCACCCAGTTGGGTACGTGCGGTCCACATTCAAGAATTTATTTCCCCTATTCAATGACTATTGACTTTTTCTTTTTTCTTTTTGTTGATATCTAGATGAATGAATTCAAGACTGGGCCTGATTATGCAGCAACTTCAATTGGTAATTCGGGTTCTGCACTTTCTCCATGGTCATCTCTAGGTTGGTTCTTGAAATCCCCCCTCTTTTCTTTAACAGTCAGTCCTCATCAAGTCACTTCTATTCGAAACGAAAATCATCCAAAAAATTTATCTGCTCTACTACCAGTTGTTATAGTTTACCATTAAAACTAACACCAGAGGGTATCAATGTACTTATAAGCTCACATGGTTAGATTCTGTTACCAAAAACCTTTTGACACTTGTTCAAGAATTCAAGGGCTAACATGTGCAATGTCCCGAATCAGACAAGTGCAAAATTTTATCACGGGTGACAAATTTGATTGAGAAATCATACATGCATGTCCTATATATTGTTGTATTTTAGACCTAATCTGTCAGATTTGGTATTGTTCTCAAGATTCTTTGCCTCAAATCTGGGGAAATTTTGGCTCATCTGTCACGAGATGTTTTACATTGTAGCATCTATCTAGAAATGGTCCATGGAAAAAGACAGATTTTCTGGTGTTAACCGATAGAATTACATCAGTGCCTTAACTGTACAACACCTGAAGTACTAGACACGTGTGGTCAACAGTATTGGACAGACGGAATAGTATAATGAATAAAATTTTAATATTTTTGATCACGCTACATGTACAACATTGGTCGACAACGTCCTATTTGACATTATCATATTCATCAATTTTAAAAAACTGTTTTCTACATCACATATTAGGATTTTGACAACACATGGTCGTCAATAATTATTGTCGTACACTTAGCTTTATTCTAATATTTTTTCTTTAACAGTGTCGAGTGCTGTTAAGTCGACCTGATTGTGTCTTATATGTCAACAGACTTTGGAGAATCTCGGCGGCAGCAATCAGGATCGGATATGTTCGGTGACATTCCCTCAACAGAGCTTCCTAACATCCCGAAGAAGCAGAAAAGGAAGAAGTCCAAATCAACTTCTTCTCCCAAGTCCAGTTCGTCCTCGAGGTCATCAAGAGCAGCAAAATCGAAAGCCAAATTAATCGAAGGCAATCCCAATCCGACAAATATCCAAGTGGCATAATACATTTACAGATTTTGATCATATGAAATCATAAAGAGAAATTAATTCCAATCTTGGTAATGTTGGTTAAAATTTGTGTATATTTAGGGGGTGCATTGCATATGAGATTAAGATCAGAATCAGGAGGGGGAACTAGAAAAAAGAAAAATTATATTCATCAAATATTCAAACCTGAGATTTATTTTGAGAAATTAAATTTTCTTGAACTGTTTTTTTTCTTTTCTGTTTTGTTCCTTACTTGGAAGCAAGATGAGGAAGGGGCATGTAAAAAGTTAGAAAATTAATATGCGGGTGAAGAATTGTGCTGATTGTCATTATTGGAATTAAATTGCCTTGAAACTATCTCCATTTTTGCTTTTTCTTTCTCTTCGAACTTCTGTTTATCCAAAGGATCATTTGACATATTTTCATCATAATTCTCAATCCTTTTATATTTGCATCTCACTACCACTGTCCGAAAACAATTTATGGGCCTGTGAAAAATTCCTAGACGCCTAAAACTATGCCTTATCGCCACCGAAATTTTCATAGCCACCGTTTGCCGTGGTGGTGCTCGTCCTGTCCCTCGCCTAACTCAAGCCAAAACTGCCCAAAATCGCCACCCAATCCGTCACTTTAGAGTACATAAAATGGAAACCAATTCCTTTTCATTTGAATGTGACACTAAGAACAGTAGTGTCAGTCGATAATCCAAACTATGGAAGTTTCAAATATGATAATAGTAGTACAGCTTATATAAGTTATCGTGGGGCCATGGCAGCCGAGGCTCCCATTGAGCATGACAGAATCCCTGCTTGTGGCAGCCATGAAATTAGTACTACGGTGGTGGTGATAGGGGATAGTTTGACGTTGAACCCTAAATTTTGGTTGGATTTGACCAGCGGTTGCCTGAAATTTACTTCATCAACCACCTTGCACGTCAAGGCTACGGTGTTCAAGTTCTTGTGAGAAAAAAAGGTCACAACTTGCAGCACATGTGACTTATCCGTGTGCATCCAGGCATAGAATGCTATTTCTGTATGCAAATCAAAGGTTAAGTATTAGTATAATTTTAGAAAAAGAATAATTAATTTGACCAAATTTGAATGTGAAGGACTTCATTGTGACTATATGAAAGCCAAACTTGGTCGATCGATCTCAAATATTGTCATGTTCAATAAAAGGTTCATTTGATTTGATTTTCTTTTTTTTTTCCTAAATCAAATTTCCGGGGGAATATTTATGAATTCGAAATTAAAAATACAAATTTTCAAGGGGGTGTACGACTTGATCTCCAACCAACGGAAGAAGATAAAAAAAATATCAACTTTATATATTACGAGCATTTTTCATGCTTCGAGTTACCATTCGCCTTGTCATAAACTTTGAAAGGTTTTCATCAGTATCTTCGTTGTCCTCTTCAAAGTATACTAGTATACATCAAAAACCTCTATTTTGAATGTCATAACCCTCGAAGATTTCATACAGATGGAACGAAGCTGGTTGCAGCAATCCTATTTATAGAGATCCCGTCTCCACTTGAATGGGCGCAAGAATCACTTTTGCCATTGATTCGCTTTTGTTTTGCCTTAAATACCGGAAAGACACCAACTATTAAAATACTAAGGGAAAATTACATAGATCAGATCTTTAAACTTCAAAGTGCAAAAATCAGGTGTGAAATTTTTTTAATCAAAATTCAGGTAATTAAATATTATACCACCCAAACCCTAATTTCATTTCATCCTCCTCCACTTTCCCTCCTTCCCCTCTCTCCCTTGTCTTTCTCCTCCTCCCCCTCCGCCTCCCCCTCTTGAAACTTCTTGAATAGCCATGTATAACTTGTCTGTGAGTGTTGCTGATAAGTTTCAAGTATGGTACCTATATGTTTCATTTATCAGCTATGGCATCATCCCCCTCAGTTGCTTTTCTCCAATTACAATTAACACGCAGAGAGGCTTAAGATAGTTTCATGTTTGCTTCCTAACAACGACATTGTCAATTTCTAATTTGGGAATTTATACCTTTCTTGAGGAGTCTACTTTCTGTTAGAATTGTTTTCTTTTTGTAAGTTTGGAAAAATCAAATTAACAACTGAATTTTGATGCTGAATCTTGCTCCAATTGTTCAATTCGGCCAACAAGAATTCAATTAGCAATGGTAAGGCTATGGGTAAGCAACCAATTGCATCAATTAACACCTCAACTTCTGGAATTGAATTTGCCCATCTTCCTCCTCGAGATGCATATGTTCCTACTGAAATTGATGATTCTGTTGGTGTTTTTCTTCAAAACACAGGCGGCGGTGGTTGGCAGTGGTGATTTAGGTGGTGTTGGTTAGGTTATGTGGCGATGGTGGTGAGGTGGATCTAGGTAGGACGGCGGTGGTATTTACTTGATGTGGTGTGTGATGGGTTGACAATGGTGGTGGCACTCGACGATAGTGCGGGTGGAGGATCTGGTGATTCTGGTTTTCTATGACTAAAAATATAATATATGACCTTAAAATTCTATAATCTGTGACCAACCATTTTATTATCTGTGACCTAAAAATTATATAATCTGTGACCGTAACAAAATCTGTGACCAACTAATTTAGAAATCTGTAACTGTGTGATTTATAAATTTTGATATGTGACCAACGAATTAATTATGACTTAGAAATTTTTTTATATGTGACCATTAAAAAATCTGTGACCAACTAATTTGGAAATCTGTGACCTGCAAAAAAAACTGTGATCGAAAATTAATTTTTAACTAATATTAATTAATTAATAAATACCTGATTTTTGCAAGTTTGAAATTTAACACTTGATTTTTGCAATTATCAAAGTTAATACATTATTTGCGAACTCTTCCCAAATACTAATCCAACATCTATGCCCGACAAAGCCTGTCTACAAAGGCAATACAACCCATGAATCGGACTAATTTGGGCTGGTCTGACTATTGGATGGAGTTTTGACAGTCCGGCCCACTTATTATCGTGCTTAATAAATGGGAAGATTTCATAATTAAGAGATTTCGTTTTACCAATTTCAAATTTAAGAGATTATATTTGAAATTTCAAATCTCAGTTTTTTAAATTTTATTTATAAATTAATTAATTAAACATATATTTTATTAATTAAATATATTAATGTCACAATTTCTTATAATTTGATCACAAATTCACATATTATTAATTAGTCACAAATCACAATTTTCATATGACACAAATTATTTTACGGTCATAATTCAAAAATTTTATAGGTCACAATTTGTTCATCGGTCACAAATCAAAAATTTATACGGCACAATTTATTCATCGTTCACAAATCTATCAAATTAATAAGTCACATAATATTCATTGGTCACAAATCACAAATTTTATGTCACAAATTTTTTTACGGTCACAAAACATCAAATTAATTGATACGAATTATATTTAGGTCACAATTTATTAAATTATTGGTCACAAATTAATAAATTTTTAGGTCACACAGTATGTATTGGTCACAATTTATCTGTTTCATTGGTCACATATTGTTTATTGGTCACACACTAACGAATTTATTGGTCACAATCAACCAAATTATTTGTGACCACCACTAACGCTTGTGACCACCATCGCACCGTTGCAACAGCCTAAACCACCGTCGTCAGAACCACCAACACCACCTCCTGGCAACAAAACTGTCAGCTCGAATACCGTAGCCAACATCACCACCAACACCGCACAGATCCATAACCACCACATACCACCACACACCGCACAGATCTACCGCGCACCGCACCACCCACAACACACCACCACCACCATCTTCTCTATCTCCATTTACACCACAGATCCATCGCCACGCCCACACAGATCCGCCACCGACATGCCCACACCGCACCCGCCAACAAAACCACATCCACCACTATATCCAACAACCCAAAACCTCACCAACACTGCCCACATCACCGCTGCTAATACGAGCACTACCGCCCATATCACCACAAAGCAATTGATCTAGAAGAGGAATTAAAAGCAACGCTGCCGGAGTGGAAGCTACAGACGACAAATAAGCGATCGATCTAGCAAGAGCACTAGTAGCCGGGAAAAAGACTGAGAGAGAAGAGAGTGAAAAGAGGTGGAAAATTATAGGGTTTGTCGGTTTGGAATGAAATTTATTAGGATTTCTGGATTTTGGATGAAAATTGTATAATTAATATTTAATATTTAAAAATAAAATATCTGATTTTTGAAAAGTGAAACCTTATATTTGAAATTTGAAATTAAATCTTGAAAATTCTTGTTTTGTGTAATTTCCTCTTAATTAATTACATCCACTTAGCCTATTAGAACTGCAAGGGACTCTCACATACCTTTTGAACTAAATGTAAACACTTAAATCTCAATGGATTGTGCATGTGACACTTTAGAGGCACACTTTGTACTTCTCATGTATGTTGTGCACGAAATACTTTTGTGATGTGCCAATCGGCATAGTCAAGTGAAGCAAAAGCACCACTAGAAAATATCATTGATGGCCAATTTTCAATCGTCACGTTTTTTCGATAGAAGAGAGACAAATTTCTGATGAAAACTGGTCACCGAAGATAGTCCGTCATAAAATTTATGACCAATATTTTTTACGGATTCTGAGCACTACTGAAAAATTATAGACTTTTTGATGGGTGTGTCTAGTTAGAAGATTAAAAAGCATTTTCAAAATTAAAAATAAAAATAGAGAACTTTCAAACAGGTCTCAAAGTACGTCCAATCTCACAAAGATTTAGGCAGGAATGGAACAATTGAATGTTGATGTACTAAATTCGAATGTTGTGTAAAGTATAGGTACCGTTAAGGTAATTAACTCGCCTGTCACCATACAAAATAGTACTGTCCAATGTCCATGATGTCTCTAAGGAGAAACCGAAATTGACACTGATTTTACGAATTGTGTGTGGCAATGGTTATGGCATGTTTTGAACGAATCCAAGGTGAACTACCCTTTAATTTGACTAACAACTTTTAAAGTTCGACTCAACTGCTTTAGCCGGGAAGTGGAGGTAGAAATGTGTTATCCTCATAGTCTCTTGTTTAATAATTACGGAATTGATTATCAACTATCGTTTATTACAGCTTGTTTTATTAGTGAAATCAAACTTGGCGACTGAATTATCTAAATGTAATGTATTTATTAAAAAACATTTGTTTAGTAACAAAGGAGCTCTTCGAATATTTATCTAAATTAAATCGATTATAAATCACTCCTAAACATTGTACTTTTTTTTTAGCCTAACATCCTCTTCGCTTAGTAGATTGGGATCGGGCTTACTTGTTGATTTATATTGAGAATTTTGTTAGTGATAAGAAATTCTTAAGAACTAATATTGAAAACGTCGACCGATATTAATTTCACTCAATATATTTGAAATTATTTTTTAATTTTTTGTAAACTTGAAACCCTTCAAATATCAAAACATGTATATCACTCGATACCGTGTAGGAATAATAAAAAGAGGACAGATCTTCCATTTTTCAAGCTCATATCCCATTAACACCAAAAAATGATGTATTTCTAAAAATATAAATGAATTTTCAGAAATTTACTTGGAATAAGAGATTTTCATTCTTAGACTCAAACTTTTCATTAGTGAACGCACTTTGTTTGATAATAGTTTGTCTAAAAAGTCCGTTGAAATTGCGTATAACAACTTTTTTTTTCATCATAATTTAAATAAATAAATAAAAAGCACAAAAAAATAAGCATGAAAACAAAATATTTTAACATAAATCATTATCAACGACAAGATGCATTAATTAATGAAAAGTTGAAAATAAGAGTTCGACGAAAAAAATTAAGAAAATAATTGCTATAACGAGCAATGATTGAAGAGCTTAACTGCAATTAAAATGTGATATAATAAATAAAAATTGTGGTAACAATATAATCACCCGAGTTAATGTGTGTTAATAACTAAGTATATTAAATATGGACATATTAGTAAACTAAAAAATTATCTATAATTTCAATAAGGAAAATGACCTATAATTTGGGACAAATTAAAAAGAAACCAAGTCTATCTTATGGGATGAGGGTGTAGAATTTTTGAATTGAATGCGTACATTTAAAAATGACACTAGATAACAATATAAAATGTAATAGAAAAAATCAAGCCCTTGTTTTGGGGGATTAAAATCAGATTTCTAGTATATTTTGATAAAAGTTGATGAAATGTGTTGTTTAAAAGTTGTGGAAACCATAAAATAGGTGGTTGAAATTAATTATTTACTTTGACTTTGACTTAGATTAAAATTTAGATTTTAATTTGTACCAAATATGGACTAAATTTATTATATATATTTCAAAACTCTGTTTATCATCATCTTCTTCCAATGAGAAAACATGTGCTTATATGTAGCAATTATTAGTTGAAAATATTCCAATTTAACATTGTACTCATATTTTACATGTGTAGCACGTTTTGAATCGTTCCTATCTTCACGTTATTTTTTATGTCTGTTCTCAATTAGCAAGTAACAATGAGACGAAGTAATGGGAAAAATGGTACATTGGTCCCTCACCAAATACACGTTTCTCAATTCTTGATAAAAGAAGCATATTCATCTTTAACATTTCGTTAAAGTTGCACAATCAATTTTTATTGAAAATCATTTAAATTTCAGTTAAATTGTAAGTAATAGGTTTTGCTTCTCAACTGGGTAATCGGTCAAAAATATGAAGTGGAGCATGCTTTCAAGAAGGCTATGTACTTGTCAATCTAGAATAATAGGTTCCTAAAAGATAAATGCTCATGTTTTTAATACTCGACTACCACATGACACCTATATTTCCTTCTACCTATGTATATAAATATCCCACCAATGCCATATGATTTATCCTAAACTACACCCATCTACACAAACTCGCTCTTAAAATTATAAACCTTAACGTACAATTTTTCTTTCATATTGATAGGAATTAACTTATAGTTGCAAAAACCTTTTTGAAAACATTGTTGTCCAAAGCTTGTTTGGTGCGTTACTTACTTCAGTAAATAGTTAAGAGCTAAAATCTTATTTGTCGTATTGTCTTGTTGTAGGAGGAACTCTCAACAGCGCTAAAGGACTATGTAGGCCGAGAAACTCCCCTGTACTTTCCAGAGAGGCTCACAAATTATTTGATAAATACTAAGAAAAGCCGTGTAATATATTATAGAAATTGTACTAATGGAGAAAATATAACATCATCAAAAGAATTACTCCGTTGTATAACATTAAGAAAGAGAAAGAAGGTAAAATCTTGTTTACTAAACTATTCAGTATTGTCTAACATCGTGTGCGCCAAACAAGCACTAAAAGGACAGAAAAAAACTCGAGAATTACTAAATAATCTGCCAACTCTACATCAAATGAAACTGAGGGAAATGATGTTAAAAAAAAAAAAACACTGATTAATGCAGATCAAGATTGGTGTCTTGAGATAGGTGCTGGATGAGCATTTGTGAACAGCTTAACTGCACAAAAATGAGAATGATACAATACCGCATACAACATCTAACGATTCAACAGCGGAAGCAATGTACTATTAATTTACAGTTGACGTAAACATTTTGCTATTCTAGCATCGCATCCTTTTCCTTTGACGACCCTCTTCAGTTGATTCCTGCAGATAAAATTGAAAAGGGACATTATGTTAACAACATCCATGATGTCACATATACAACATAATGATCGGTGACCATGAATGTTCATCATGCAAATACATCACAGTCATAATTCATCACGGCTTTGTACACAAATAGCTTCTTGATGATAAAAACAACTGCTGAAGTTCTGTGCATTGAAACTAGTATTTTTGTGGTAAGCTTACATTTTTTTAATTTATTTTATGCTACCTGTTCTACGTGTGTACTATTCAAGGTAAAGTGCATTGTATATTTTACTTGAAATGAACTCGAATCAGCTTACAAAACTTGCAATCAAAATGAGGATTACAATAAAATTCTATCTCATAAACAGAAATTTCACATGCTGACTATGGGCAGATATCAATAAACCTAAACAACAAACAAACAAGATATATTCATCTAAGCAAGAAATTAACTCTCACAAAATGATTTAAGGGGAAGACAGCGTACCACTTCATCTTTCGTAAAATCTTCAGTTGTAATCACATGAGACTCAGACCTGCATTTAGCATGTACTATAGGACCTAACTGTGACCTGTCCATCGCTGAGGTTGATCCAGCATATGCATTCATGTATACAGCCCCCCTATACATCCATTCGTCCATCTCATCACTGTAAAAATCGTCAAAAGGCTCTCCGCACAATGCGCAAATATTCTGATCCTCATCAGCAGGAACAGCCATTTCTTCATCTTCTTTCTTTTCCACATCATTATCAGCAGGAAAAAACCCTGGAACTGCTTCAGTTCCCACTGCCTCAGCCCCACTGAGCCACATATTTATACTCATAAACCACTTGGGAGAAGACTTCAGCTTACGGGTTTTTAAAGTCCGGTTCTTGTTGACATGCCAATCCATATGTTTGCCATGCTCTTCTTGGCTTTTGAATCGAAGGCCACATGATTTGCATTGTCTAGGAAGATCAGTGTATAGAGCAGTTATTACAGACTCATGACGCAACTTAAGAAGGTCTTGATCAAACTCCACTCCCGCAGAATCCTGCACATTCTATCAAAAGGCTGTGACAATCTTTTATCGATAAAAATTTGAAATCAAAAGGCTAATCCAATACAGAGGACCTAAATGCATACCTGTTTTGTTAATGATATCAAACCTTGTGCTACAAGAGAACTAATTAAACCCGAAATTGCACCCTGTGCTGGAGGGTTAGGGGCCATTTGACCTATATTTCCAGGGGGTATTGATTGAGTGGTGCCAGGTGGTGGTCCCCTGGGTAAAGACGGAATGGTTGTCCCTGGTAAATGTAATGACGTGTTCAGGGTATTGAAGATTGGCAAAGATGATTTAGCAACCGGAACTAGATTAGACAAGGATATACCAATAGGGGGACCACGTCCTTGTGCAGCGTATCCATGATTTCGAGGTGGTAGTAGATGTGGATGAACTACTGGTCGGAAGAGCTGACTAGGAGCTCGAGGCATATTGCTTATTGACATGCCAGTATTGTCCAGATGCTGCTCATATTGATTTGACTTGTTGATAATAACATTGCCGGCATTCATAATAGGAAATTGACCCCTGATGTGGAATTCTGGAGGAAGAGCAGAAAGGGAAGGTGATGGGTGTGAATTGTGTAACCTTGCATGATACCATGCTTTTGTTAAAGCTGGTGAATTGGTTGATCGATTCTCAGGAGCTAAAGAGTCAACATTAGGGTGGGACCCAAAAAATCGTCCATCTACACTTGAGAAATTTCCAATTGTAGGAGGCTTTTGCTCATCAGCTTCCGAAAAGACTCCAATTCCTGAATGTGAACTACCTTCTTTGGCATTCAAATAATGTTGCAACTGCCGATGTGGTAAATTCCATGATTCTCGGGTATAAGTAGAAGCAGCTATCCGATTTGAGGCACTGTGTGAACCAGTAATCTTACTAATTCCTCCACGGCCAGACTGCAAAAACGAGCGAAAGTTAAAAAAATCACACCTTCATGTTTCAAAAGATCACGGCAAAGAATAAAATACTTCACAGAAGAAGTGTCAGGACTCCTGAATCCACTCAAGTCAGGGCCACAGAGTTTGAGGGAGTGGGTGGGTATACATGTATGTTGACGTCATAGCATCAACCAAGAACGTGAATAATTGTAAAAGAACATTGTATATATTAAATAACTTTCATAGTGACATGGTAGGAAAGAGAAGAGAGGGTCCAGATCGAGCTGAGTAAAGAGAAAGCTCTGATCAGATCAAAATTTCATAAAGCAATATAGAACTTTCCAGATCCATGATGGTAACAGAAGAGACAAATCTTTAAAGAACAAGCACAAAGACTCATCGGCATCAAAATTATTTGAATTGAATACCAAACGAAATATAAGGTGATTAAGATAAGTAACCATACACTGAACGAGGGAACACCCTCAACAATGGAAGAATCAGTAGTGGAAGAAAATTGATCCTTAAACAAGATGCTTCTGAAATCAGTCACCAAAGGTGCAGAGCGTTGTGCAGCAAAACTGTCCTTGCCCTGGTGTGCTAAATTTGGGCTCATATCATCCCCATCAAATTCCTTCTCTTCAGTATTTTGCCATGTCCTGGAAGCTGTCTTTTGGTCAAAATCATTTATACCCATTTGTTCAACCTTTGGATGTTTAAGGTTCAAATTTTTGTCCCTGTGATCAACTCCATAAGCATCAATCAAAGCTCTAGGTCCTTGAAGATCAACTCCATTATTAAGTAAAGCAGCAGAATTTTTAAGATGTTGATCAGCTTCGCCATGCCAATTTCTTGCTCGCAATTTATTTGTCTCCTCCTCTTGGCCCATCACTCTGTTAAGCCTATATTCAAATCTAGAATTAGATGGCGAGTCTGTTTCAGCAGCCCCTCGATAACTGTCCAAACCAAATTCATCAATTGATGGGGGTGATGGTGAAGTTGTATGGCCTGTGCGTGCCAGAGTAGATGTGCTTAAACCTTTGGCTCCAACCTGCAAATTGAATAACAAAGCAAATTCAGAATCCAGAAGACAAAATGATCAGAGCCGGTGATAGATTCTTATGAATAATATATTCGACACTGAAGTACCTCTACAGGTTATGCATTTTGAGATGGTGACTAATGTAAAAATCTCAATGAAAGAAATGGTTGATTAGGTTCCCATCAGGTGCAATACACCTCCTTCACATGAGGGTTAACAAAAATTTCAAGTGAAGGCACCGTCACATAGGAACAAGCTTAAACCAACAAATAATGGAACAGACTGAAAGAACAAAGGGATATTTGCAGAGATCGAAGCAAATACTAGAGAGTTAGTTTTTTAGACTTAAATCTCAGACAAACCAAAATTTTTTAGACTAAAACAAATAAATCTCTTTATTTGATATTTTTGCTAGAACAATATGGCATCTTTAAGTCTCTACAAACCTTAAGACTGCAAAAATATTCTAACTAGGAAATCCTAAACACAGAGAGAAAGTCCAAACACTAATACAATTAGTTTAAACGTAGTATACTAAAAAAGTTTCAATCCCTAGGACAAGATATTCTAATTCTAGTTGTAAACCTACGAGATATACAAACTTAGAGACCATATAACAAACAAAAAATACTAGTCCAAGAAGGATTCAGTAAAAAAAATAAAAATAGTGGGGAAGCACCAGCCCTTGTAGCCATTCCAAATCATAAACAGCATAGAATGTTTTCAGGATATTATAGATATTCTCATTGGCTCTCTATGTACATTTTAACAAATTGATGTGCTAAAAGCTTACTGTATCTACAGTAGAATGTCCAAACTGATGCTGTGCTTCCAAATATTCAGGATTTACGTGTATGCCATGTGTTGGGCGCGGAGATTCTGAAGCTTTCAATGGTGTCAAACCAGGCGGTTGACTATTTACACCAGGGGAAAATTGCAACTGCACCTCAATCATGCGAAGTACAGATGATGGAAAAACTGTCGACCAGGTACCAAAAAGGTGATGCATAGCAGGACGCATGCTATGGTGGACTTGCATGTAGGCCTCGCAGAAAACCTTGGCCATCAAAAGAAAATGACAAAACAAAGGTATGTTAAATTACAGAAACTAATGACACCATATGACAATGTGTGAGCCAAACCAAGTTAACTTATTTACCTCAGGCAAGCGTGCAGAGAAGTGTCTAACATAATCCCTGCCTACGTTCTTCACTATACTATCCAAAAGATACAACTTAGGTAATTTTTGCTCAACTGGAACCTGGAAAAGACAAACATCAGGAAATGAAGAACAAAATATTCAACAGAAAATAGATTCCCCTCTTGAATATTTGGCAAGAGAAAGTATGAGTTACGACACAGCAGTAGATACAGCAAACATCCTGGTGAAGATTTTTTACTAAAATATAAATATACTTGTTAACTATCAACATTGGAAAGATCCTCATAATGACCGAGTAAAATGAAAGAGAAACCTACGATATTTATCTACAAAAATATAAGCAAACTAAACAAAGTCTACTGGTAGTAAAATTGATCTATTTATCCTCAGTTACAACATCTGGTGTTGAAGCTACAAAATACACACAGGAAACTAGAACTATATTATTGATGCAGATTGCAGGCCCTTCATGGAAGTTCTGGAAAAAACTTATGAACAATTATTATTAATGTGTGTTCCCCAACTCATTTAGATACTCAGCAACAATTCAGCCTTACGTTCAGATTTGCAGCATTAACTATCACATTAGCAGTCGACCAACAATTCACAACCATCAGTTGCTCAATGGCCAGGAACCCTGATTTCAGAATGAACTTAGTTCTGCAACACTGTAGGCAGAGACATTGAATGTAAACGATGCATTTAGATTACACCCAAAACTCTTGAGTGTGAAGAACCGGAATAACTAAAATTTGCATATTGGAACTTGAATTACCGTAAGAAAATGGATCTTGAGATGCATTTTATAAAATTTTCGTGATATTAGTGGCATAAAAGTTCTAGTCATAGAACATTACATAGTTTTTTGTTATAATTTCTGTCATAAACTTTCAATGGTGCCCAGTGTTGCCAGGAGGATAAGATTACAGGAACTCTTCTGAGGGGATTTCAAAAAGAATACCACCACATAGAGAACTGATCTCCTCCAGCAGCAATCTTGTAGTAAACTTGTCTTCCTCAATTCAAAAAGAAAAATAATTATGTTTATACGCGTTCTTGCCAACATTAGCAAATGTACACAATGCAGTTTTCGTGAATTTTCTGCAGCTGCTTGATTCAATCTGTAATTCAAGAGTGAATAATACAAACATCTTGGAGACTGAAGCTTCCAACGACTCAACCCGCAAAATCTTTTATATGATGAAGCAAGTTTGATTGCATTGGCAGCTTGAAATTGGTGGTTTTAAAAATCAATTATAGATTGACTGGAAAGAGCTCCCAATTTCAATTCAAATTCCCCAATTCCATACCACTGAAGCGCTGTGATAGTTCCCAATTTGAATTCAAATTCCTCAATTCCATACTACTAAGTCGTTGTGATATTTGTTTTGCATTCGACTGTTAGATCAACACGCTCATTGTATAAATAAACTCAGAACAAAAAAGGGCAAAAAAAAAAAAAGAAAGAGAGTAGAGTTTCAATCTTTATGCACTTTGAACACTAAACTTCAGAACTTCTACACCCAATACAACTGAGACGATTGGAATTAACAATTACAGAACCTTCACAACCTGTCGAGAATTCCAAAAATACCCTCGATGCTATACCTCAATGATCCGATCGCAAATAGCATTAGCTATGCCCTTGCCATGCGCTCTCTGCTGTCCAGCAATCATCGTCAGATCGGTAATGATAGGCTTCGAATTCAAAGTGAGTTCCGATAGAACAATCTCATAGAGCCGCACAATTTCATCGGCACCCATGTTCGAATCAGAGTCATGGCCCCCATTATTAAAGACACTAAGTTCTGCTTCTCTCTCCTTCAACATGCCCCTGAACCGATCGAGAATTAACGGGGGCGGCGGCTTAAGTGGTGGGACGCCGTTCGGCATTGCAGACTTGGTGAAACCGCCGGTCTTGAGAGGCGTAGGTAGGGTTCTCGTATCTTGAAACGCCGCCGTTCATTACCCGCAATCGGCTTTTGATTCAGTTTTTTTGAGACTACGAACAATATTAGGGTTTTGAATCACCGTTAGCAGCAAAGAATCGGGGGGAAGGGGAGATTTTACGGAGTAGCTGTACGAAAATAGAATTTGCGTTAACGAAAAATAAAGTTGTGACGCGCGATTTTTATAGACGAAAAGTCTGTTTGCAAGGCGGTGAGATTTTGAAACGGTTGGGCCAATTGAGAGCATGTTTGGCTAGTTTTTAGAAAATTAATTTTAAAACTCACATTTAGCCTCTGTTTGGCACCCATTTTTTTCTCATTCTCATTTTCATTTTTTTTTCTTTCTTCATTTCAACCACACATTTTATCAATAAAATAATATTACACATAAACCTAAAAATTCTCCTTACTTTTTAACTATACATTCTTCCATCAATCACTATTCAAAAACACATTCTTTCACAAAAATGGGTGTCAAACACCAGTAATTTTCTTTTCCTAAAAGTAAGTTGTATTCAATTGAGACTTTTAAAGATTTTTTGAAATTTAAAAAGTTTGTAAGTATTCAATGTAGACTTGTTGAGACTCTCTAAAAGTATTGATATATTCAATCAAGTGTATTTAATCAAAACATTTTAGAAGTCTAAGTTTTAGAATATTTAAAGGATAATTAGCATATAATGTCCATACGTTTCACTATTATTGTGAAAAACGTCAATATCTTTCATTTTTTGGCATGTCATCCTTAATTACACATTTGATAGCTCAAAATGTCATTTTCATCCATTTTTTATCTGATTTCTCTATTAACCGAATAGTATTCTTGTGAAAAATGAAATTGACAATGTATTTTCCACCTTCAGCAAATAAAAATCCTTTTGTTGGGGTCTATCAAAAGCTTCAAGATAAAATTGGATTATGTCATTTCTTCTCTCTGTTATTCTAAAATTCTTGTTATTTTTTGTTAAAAGTGTCAATCAATAGAACTTATTTATACACATACTGATAAGGAATTTGATTTCTAGTCATTCTGACTATTGAAGTATCCCAGATTTTTAGTCATTTCTGTCAAAACTCTTGGTTTTTCAATGGTTTGGTAGAATATTATTGAGAACACCACAAGAAACATAAATTCCTAGTGAAGAAACTAAATGTTAGTTTTCAAAGAACGAAATAGATGAGAAAATGGGTTCAGAGGGGAAGAAAGAGGAAAAATTACGAGAATACCCTTCACTTGACAGAGAAATTGGATGAAAATAACATTTTGTGCAATAAAAAGTACAATTAAGGACGAAAATGTCAAAAAAAGAAAGGTAGTAATGTTTTCTACAATAATAGTAAAAGATAAGGACGTTATGTGCTAATTACCCATATTTAAATTTTCTGTGGCTTTTAAAAACTTTTATAAAAGTATATAGGGTACTAAATTTTAACTAGAAGGTACAAAAATAAAATTTTAAAATTTGTGTTTCATTCATCCCAAATTTTAGGAGACTTTGACAAATAATAATAATAATGATATATTTTTTTGTTTCTTTCAATATTTCTATTTCCTCTTCTGTTGATTATATTTGTTTCCATGTCCCTTTTTTTTCTCCCTCTCTCGCTTCTATTGTTCCATGAAAAAAATTAAATTGTAATTAAAGAATCTTGTAATTTAATTTTTTCCTTTTTAATCTATTTTCTTATGAAAAAGATCTATTTGTAATTAAGATATAAGATTGTATATATATATAAAAAAAAACTAATTTATAATTTAATTTAAACATATTAATTTATTGTTTACTCTTTAAAGGTACATCATATTGAATTATTGATAATACAAAACATTAAAATTCTCCTATTTATTTCTTGTCAAAGAATAATGAAATTTGTAGATGTATTATTTTGATTATTATTTATTCAATTAAGTGACTTAAATTTTTATTTCCTAAAAAAATATTTTTATTACATGAGATGAGGAATGAAAAGGGAATTGTGGGAATCACTACCTCGTATTTGAGACTTTCACACTGTTTCACCTCGTATTTTGGATCCCATGAAAACTATGGCCGCAGTAAAGTATCTACAACAAAACAAGTCATTGAGAAAACAAATGAAAGAATTCTATAGTATAAACGTACAAAATTCATGTCTAATATGCAGTCTCAACATACCATTAACACATAAGTAACCTTCACAATATCAAGAACAGGAAAGAAATTGACCAATACTCGACAGAAACAATTCGCACTCTTCAACTTTATCACAAAGACCAAGTGATTTCCATCCAGGAAGATAAGTAAAACTTGAGGATTATCAACTCACTTAAATTACGAGATATCCAAGGCCTTAAGGCTACAGTTCTTTCCTATGAATATAAAGAGAGTCCGACTATTTCTTAACAAGCTAGATTAGAAACAAAACAACTAGAAGAACAAGATGCGCAAGAAAGTAGTACATCTACTTTGAAAGAAAGCCAAGAATATGAATCTGATAGCAGTAAAATTAGCAATTTGGAGTTGGTTGCGTGAATTTTTTTCTCCACTCGTTCGGAGTCGGTCTGCTGGGAAGTTTTGTATATACGTTTTATGAATAGCTTAAATTTTACGCAGTGCGCTCCAATCCACCCACCAAAAGCCATAAGAGGATGATCAATTCAACAGGGTTCTATATGAACATATAAATTCGAGAAATATCCAGATATTTGTGAAAACAGCATTTCAATCTATCTATCCAACAAAAGTTTCACTAAAAACAAAGGCACAAATATTTCCTGTACCAAAAACTGAGTATATTGCATAAGTTTGGATTACGAGCTGCATCTTCTTCATACAGTTGCTGCCTAAACTTGTTAAGTTGATGGAGATTGAGATCGAATGACAATAACTCCTTCAATGTATTGTCATAAAAACTCCTGATGCCTTACCTATGAATTTTGATGTAGATTAAAACATAGGCAATGGTCTATTACCCCAGAAACCTGATCAATTCTGTTGAACATTGTCGACTGGTGGAGGAGCAAATCTCAACTCTGCAGGCCGAGCTGCTACAACGGGCTCTTCTGCAAATAATGATTTAATAAAAGCCGGAGTTCTCAGGGGACGTCGACCTGTCATTCGTGGGTATACATCTTCAAGAAAATAGTAGGCATGGCCAGCTATCATTCCCTGAACCAAAGTTAAAAATCTTTCTTTGTAAGTTAAAAACTAATAACTTGAATTCAGAACATAAGAGGACAAAGATGAGGGTGGTTACACACATACAAAAAAATAAGAGCCCGTTTTTTTGACAAAAATGCATTTTGGAATCGTGATTTGATAGAGAATGTGGTTAAAAAATAAGGAAAATTATGGGTTTGAGTGTAATATAATTTTATCGAAGAATGTGCGGTTGAAAAAAAGAGAGAAAAATGTATTTTAAAAATAATAGGGATCAAACGAGATAAATAAATTGCCCACCAATTGCTAACTTGAAGAATTAACGGAGCTAGGACTCGAGGAATTGCCTCAAAATCACAAAGATTAATTCGTTGAAGCAACCTTGATAACAAGCACAACAGTAATAGTATGGAGGTGATAAAGAGCACAACCCTTTTAAAGATGCCTATAAGAACAATGGAAATAATATTTTTTTCATGTAAATGTAAGAAATGCACGATGAGTTATGATGTATGTACCATATGAAAGTATTTATCTCTGGAAAAGGAAATGTTGAATAGATCAGAGATCCTAAAACTGCCTTGAATTTGCTCCATGAAATTGAAAGTCAATGACTTAGGAAAAATTATCACTGTCATGGAACCACCACATGGCTGAGAAGTATTGAGTTACCCAACCTAGATGGTAGAAGGCAGCGATAAAAAGTTACTAAACCTAGATGATGTATATGGTGGAATAAGAGCTTTTTGAATAAGGTAATTTAGGTCCTTCACCAACAGCTAAAACATGCAGAGCCCACACTTATGTCTAAATATATATCACACGAGAATAAAACCCTCGCTCAACAGTCAAGATGATACAATCTCTACTCAAGAATCATAGTAGCATATGTATGGACATACCAGCAGGTCCACCCAAGGACTAGCACCAACAAGGACAGAGAAACCAAGAAGAACCTGCAGAGAAAGGATAAATCCAGGGTCAAGAGCTACCATCAGAATGTGAAAAAGAACCTACACAGGGCAACTATACCAAAGAAATAGTGTGACACGTCACGTGCAAATTTACTTTTCAGATTTTTTTTTTAATTTTTATTTTTTGCTTTCAGCATTTTGCCACAAGTGTTTCATTTCATTTTATTTGTTGGTTGAGGGGTGCGGTTGTTTGTGTGCTTTAATCATGGTTTCAGAAATCAATGCCCCCATAATAAACCTTTCCCACTCTCTTTTACTGATCATACAATTGAGCAGAGAGGCATATTAGAGTGTCAGATGTGGCTGAAAATGATACAAGTGAGTAAATCAATTAACGGGAAGCAAAGAAGTGGTACCAGGGTTATTTATTATATTTAATGCGAAAATTATGAGTACGAATTTTAAAATTTTTGAAAAGGAAAGCAATAGAATACAGAAGAATCTGAACAATGGCTGATGAAAGAGAAATCACTAACCCATGGAAGATAACCAGCTGTGAAAGTGAATAGGCCCAAGAAGCTCATATGGATGTATGGGTTCTGCTTGCTCCAGATGTAAACCTACAATGAGGAGAAAAATGAGGAGCAGAGAGAAAAGGTATGACATTCTTCAGGTAAATTTGTTAATTACGAGTTCTACTCTTTCAGGCAAACAAACCATCATAAATGTTAGTGAATTGCTAAGGAATATAATCCTAGCAAATGACTCTGAGACGTAAGGAATCATTCCCCCGATAAGAACAGTGCCGGTCAAAACAGAGGCGCCAAACAAGATCATGAAGAAAAAATCTGCTGTCCTTCCCCGGAAGGAGTTCTCTTCAAGAAGCTTGCAGTATCGAGCAAGGAAGAACATGTGGAACAAAAAGTCCAGGTCTACAAAATAGAAGAATACATATCGTCAAGATAGAAGTGAAGGATAACTTCACCAGTATCATCCTATTAGAAACAATTTTCCTCATTTTCAACCAGTAAAATTCTCATTACAGTAACCTAGATTAGAAATTTCTTAAATAAATAAAGTTGTCACTGTACTCTCAATGAAATGAATGCGTAAATCCTGAATTAGCTAGGAGATAGTATGTACAAGTGCATGTTTTGAAAATTTGAAGACAATAACGCACGACAATGAAGAGGAACTACCTTACTCGTGCATACAGGTACGCAAACATACGAATAACAGCAAAAACCAATTCCATTTTTTCCCAAATTTGTCTCTATAATCTGCACCTAAGAATATCCCTCTTTCCATTTGAAATAATCTATTCAGCGTGAAGTGAAAAGACAATGAAACCTAAGGAGATTAGTAGCGATAAACCTTTTGCTGCTGAAGAAGTTTACGAGTTACAGCTGAACCAAAGAAAAGTTGTTCAATCTATATGAATTAAATGTAGTGAAATCAACTCAGGTAACAGATCAAACAAGATTCAGAACTCCGAAAAACAACATACACTAATCAGTTTCATTGACATTCTTCGTTCATGTTCTATCTATACATGCTTAAACAGGAATGAACGGAAATAAATGAACTCCTGAACTGCCTATCATAGCAAAAATTCCTAGTCCACTGCAATGTATATAAATCTGTGCAAATTACGAATATGCTTTCCATCACTACTGAACAAAGGTTGTATTATCTTCAGAATGTATACACTTCAATAAATTCTATCCATACTTTCTTAAGGGATTCTTAAGTGTGCCATTTATCATTAACCAAACATATAAAATAAACATTAAATTTTCTTCGAAAGAATAATTACCCATTTTGCGAAAATACAAGAAATTGGTAACGATTCGCCAGACTTGGTAATGCTTTACTACGAGCACCGGATTCAAGTACAAGTCATATGGTGATATTATCTGCAATAACATCAAAACAATGAAAAGCGCAAAAAGAGCAGAAATTGACCATTAATCTTCAAAAAAACCATACAAGAAAAAAATAAAAATTAGAAGTACGAGAGAAAAAAAAAAAACATTTTCTAACCCGGAATAATATATTATAAGCTGAAAAACTAGTATTTTCACAGAATTAATCAAACCCAACCCATTTTAAGATATATACAAACCAATCTTTTCATCCTCAAATAGGAACTTACAACATAATTCCAACAACATAGATACGCCTAATACATATTATATACGTAGAATCGTGTGTAGAGAGAGAGAGAGAGAGAGAGAGACGAATGCTTTACCTCGAGGGAGCAACCGATAGTTGTAACAATGGCAGCGGTAAGGTATGTGCGGGTGATGATTGGCATCTGCTTATACCATTCTTCCACTGCTTGCGCCATCCCTTTTCCTCTCTATATTTCTAAAATCAATCGATCAAACCTTAACCCTAACCCCAAATTTCCAAACCAAAAAATCCCAAAAAAGTGAAAAACAATTGATAATTCCACACAACACAAAAACCCTTTCAGTCCCACCAACAGAAAAGACTCGTCTTTATTTTCGCTTTGGAATTGCAGCCAAGTTTCATTTCTTGTTAGTTCATTAATGCAATATCTATACAGTGCTTGGTGAGAATATATTCCACGCGAATTATTCAAGAGTGTAATGCAAGAACCAATTGTTTATTTTAGTGACGATTATTAGCCAATTGCAAAAGTCGAAGCGGTGATGTCATGAGTGTGTGTCCGTCTGATAAAACGAGGTTTGATGATGTTAGATAATCATAGATCAATTTGTTAACTTAAGTAATTAACAAAATAAAATATATATTGCTACTTGTACATAAAAAATTATAAATTAAATAATAGATAAATAAGAGTGTGTTTGGTAGAGATTTTTGGGGGAAAAATTGATTTTTGAATAGTGATATGATGGGAAATGTGTGGTTGAAAAAGAAAAAAAAGTATTGACGTGATGGAAAATATTATTTTATTGAAAAATGTGCGATTGAAAATGAGAATTGATTAATTTTGAATAGTGATATGATGGGAAATGTGTGGTTGAAAAAGAAGAAAAAATTATTGATGTGATGGAAAATATTATTTTATTGAAGAATGTGTGGTTGAAAATGAGAATTGATTTACTGTAGAAAATTAGAATCTGTACCAAATAGGCTCTAAATCTTATTCAGGTGTTTCATGAAATACGTGAATAAAAAGTGATTTACATGCTTAATCATAAATTACTACATATCATTATCAATAATGTTCACTTGTCCATGTGAACAGTGATGATAAATAATATTATTTAGTACAAAATTACATATTAATTGGTACAAACAATAACATTAATCTTTACAAAAAATGCCATTTAATGTAACGCCCCAATTTCAGTTAAACCCAAGACGCTACTTAAGTCGAAATATCCTGTAAATGAGTATTCTAAATAAACGCCAAAATGCGTAAATATTTTTTTTCTCAACTATAGTACATTAGAAATAAATGCGGAAACGTCATTTGAATAATTTGCTCATATCCAAGTGTCAATACCAAATAAAATAAGCAAAGTGTCAAAATTTGCAAAAATACTAAAACTTGAAATTTAATTGTCAAAATGGAAACCAACTATTAAAATACTTGTTTCAAAAATCTATAAATTAAATTGTCTATTATTTAATCAATATTGCCCCNATCCAAATTGTGACCAAAAAGTGCAATAGTGTGTCTCATAGTTGAAGGTATGTCGACATCCCGAAAAAGAGATGCGACCGGTCGTGACATGTTACCATTTGCGTGAAGTTCAAATTGGATTGAATCCCATTTTATGATTAACGTAAAAAAAAATTGACCTGTATTGTGATGCTTATGAATATCCATTGGACACGGTTGTATCACTTGTATGTTTGTGACAAGCTCCAAACCACATGTGATATTAAAATGCGACCTATAATATTGAGCTTACAATTAAGTAATGTTAATTGCAGTATGATACTATTTTCTATTGTACCCGTAGTTTGATGGATATAATTCGTATAACATTTAGAAGTATCTTGTAATCGCTATATAAATTCACTTCCGTTACAGTTGTAACTTCATATTGTGAACGTATTGTGACTTGTTATGGTTGTTGGGAAGACAATGACATAGTACAAGGCTTGGTAATGTAACAATGTGACATGTATCGTGAGGATTTTGACTGCATATGTAAATGGGATTGAATTTGAACGGATATAATTCACGTCATAAATACAAGTACTAGTCACGGCTAAACGTGCGTTACACTTTATTTTGAAATACTTTATAAATACTATAAAAATGATATTTGATAATTGGTGAATATAAAAAATAGTTTTAAAAAAATTGATTATGTGAAATGAAATTTTTCTACAATTCAATTATTTATTTACGCATATGATAATAATTATTAATAATTAATATATATTATACTATAATTCAATCAATTAATTCTTCAAGTTTATATATGTACACTTTATATATTTTGGAGACTCTTCTATTACTCTAGAAATATTACAATTCAATTATTTATGTATATGCATGTATGCTAATTAATATTTATTTATGAATATATTAAATATAATATCGAGCCATCAAGTTCATGTACATATATTTTGGGAGCTATTCAATTATTTTAGGAGTAAATAGATTATTCAAGTTCTTGAACATGTATTTATTTTCAAGATTATTCATTTTATCATAAATTATTCTAGAAATATATAAATTATTAAATATCGTATAATTTGGGAGCTATTCAATTATTATAGGAGTAGATAAATTATTCAAGTTCATGTACACTTATTTAATTTCAATATTATTCATTTAATCTATGATATAACGACATTTGTCTAAATGTATATAATATAAATTATTCTTTTTCTATATTCATTGATTCAAATTAATTAAATTTCATGTTGGTTCATGTACTCCCCTTTGTTTAGATGTATATAAATTATTGTTTTTATATCTATTAATTCAAATTAATTAAATTTCATGTTCGTTCACTTACATCATCTTTGTTTAAATGTGTATACATTATTCTATTTCTATATTCATTGATTCAAATTAATTAAATTCTATATTCATGAATCAATTTGATTGTTATTATACAATTCAATTATTGATTTGTGTGCATGTTTAATAATTAATATTCAATTAAATATATATTGAAAAACGAAAAGTAAGGTACTATTGAAATAATTAAATTGTAGTAGGGCTAAAATCGTCCAAAAAATGATTCTCACTTGATTCGATATTTAATATATTATAGATATTTGTGACCGTTCTACGAGGCCTCTCTATAATAGGAACTATGGGTATTTTTCTTGAAATCACACTGCGCAAGATAAGATAAGCACAAAATAATAGAACTTGTATTTTTAAAATAAATTTAAATTTAGATAATTTTACCCCTAATTTGCGAAATTTGTGAAACGGTAAAATAAATTATAAAAATAAATTTATATCAAATGTAGGGTTAAACAAAACTCTCGAATCGAACATAACCAAGCGGTTCAGTTTAATTCTCCTTACATTAATTATTAAAACGGGTATTAGAATCGAGAACGGACGAATTTAGTTTAGTTCCTGATTCTAGACTAAGAATCGAAAAATCAAACAAGAATCGAATTTCTCTAATTTCTTAAATTTTTTATATTAAATAAAATATTTATTTTTTTCTAAATAAATTTGTCAACTAATTAATTGATCCCAAAATATCATTTGAGAGCAATACATATGTCAGGTTTTTACTTTACACCATTTCAAAAATACAAAAACAAATCTCAAATTTCAAAATTCAGGTTTTTTAAATTTTTATTTATGAAATAATAAATTATTAAATCAATTTATTATTATATATTTAATTCTATTATAATATAATTAACCCACCCCACCTCACCTCACCTCACCTCCACCACCTCTACCGCTCCGGGGACTATTCCGACTACCGTTTCGGTCACAACTCATCTCCGGCGACCGTTCCAACGATTGCTCCGATTCCGACGACGATTCCGATTCCGACGAAAATTTTTAGGTCACAATTCAAAATTTTTATAAGTCACAATTTGTTCATCGGTCACACATCACAAAATTTATAAGTCACAATTTGTTCATCGGTCACACATCACAAAATTTATAAGTCACAATACTTATTTAGGTTACAATTTATCAATTTATAGGTCATATATAATAATTTTTAGGTCACAAATTAATAATTTTTAGGTCACACAGCTTGTACTGATTACAGTTTAACTAATTCATAGGTCACAAACCAACCAAATTATTGGTCACAAAAAATCAAATCATTTGTGACCACCACTTCGCCACTGCCTCCACCAGCGGCACCACCATCGTCGCCGCATCTTCACCACCATCCTGCTTAGCACGACCACACCCACCACACGTGCACACATCCAACCATAACACAGCAACACCGCAACGATCTCACAGAAACACCACAACCATCGCATAGAACCGCAGCCATGGCACAACCATCGCACAGAGACGCAACCACCGCACGCAACCAGAAACATACCGAAACCACACGATCACCATCGCCACACAAACACACGCACCCAACCATCGCAAACACCGAAACCAACAGCCAACTAGCTACAACAACCAATAGCCAACCATCGCAAACCGGAACCAATAGCCAACCATCGCAAACCGCACGATCACCATGAACGTAGCACCCAACCAGTTACAACAACCACGGTACCACCGCCCCCTCTACACCACCAACATCAACACAAAAACAACATACAAACCTCATTTCAAACACAACATTCGCCCCCTCTACGCGACATTAACGGATGAAAGAACACAAACGAAATGTTGGATCTCAAATCGGATCGGGCGGGCGGATCGGGTGGGGTGTAAACACAGACGAAATGTTGGACCTCAAATCAGATCTGGGCGACAGATCTGGGCTGGTAACATCGTTACACGGTGGCTCTGCAGTAGCCGTGGAGACGAGAGCGAGAAACGAGAGAGATAGAGAGTTGTAGAGAGAAGGAGGAGAGGAGAGGAGAGGAAGAAGAGTGACGGCCGTGACTGTGGCGACGGCGTAGGCGTAGAGCAGATAGAAGGGAGAAGGATGAGAGTGGAGAGGTAATTGGGGCGGTGGGAGGAGAGAGGGTGGAGTAGAAGAAATGGTTGAAATGATTTAGGGTTTGGTTGGGTCAAATTATTTTATTGTATATAAATATAAAAATAAAAAATGTTTTTAAATTATTAATTAAAACCTGATTTTTGAAATGTTAAATTTGTGATCTTAATTATGAAATTGGAAATCTAATTTCAGGTGTAGGTGTAATTTCCTCATTATTGTTTCTGCCCAGTTCTTGTATATTTTGTGGAGCCCAAAATGTAAGTCCACTTGGAGTAGGTTTACATGGGAGGCTTTCACTGGGCTTTGGGAGTTTGTGAAATGAACAACCCGACGTGCCCTGTTTCTTGGCCTGGCTTTGAGCCTGGCCAAGAATATTTGGAGACGTAGTACTTTCAGGTACTAGTGTTGGTTGCAGGACTTCTCGAGAATCCTGAGGTTGCCTTGGATGCACTTTGTTATACCATTTAAACGAAATTTAAATTGTTTGCTTTTTCAAAAAAATATGTGTTTACTATTTTATTCTTAAACATGATTTTTACTTTGTGCAGCATGTCTACTAATGGCATGTTGTTCATGGTTTCACTAGGGTTTAATGCTGCTGCTAGGTAAGTTAATTTGAATCAAATTTGTGTTGATAGCACGTTTGAGAAGGTGGATTAATTTATAGTATTGAAGAAGAAAAAGAAGTTGAAGTGTTGTATTGTCTATTGTTCAAGAGGATCTAATGATGTGTACTTTGAAATAGTGTCCGAGTTAGCAATGAGCTTGGAGCAGGGAACCCCAAGTCGGCAGCTTTCTCGGTTGTTGTGGTAAATACTGTTTCTTTCATTGTTTCCGTGTTGGTTGCAGCTATCGTGTTATGGCAACGACTTAATATTAGCTACATATTCACGGATGGTACCACGGTTTCCAATACAGTCTCTAAACTCTGTTCATTCTTAGCAGTCACTCTCATTCTCAATGGCATTCAACCAGTCTTGTCCGGTAATAATTAATTTCCTCCGAACAAAAACTTACGTACTAAACTCACAATCTGATCTCTTGTAAGTAAAACTAACTCGATGTTATAACAATATTTTTCACTCGTGATTATTGAAGGGGTGGCTGTTGGTTGTGGATGGCAAGCATTTGTTGTCTATGTAAATGTTGGGTGTTAGTGTGTTACTACATTGTGGGAGTTCCAGTTGGTTGTCTTCTGGGTTTCAAATTCAACTTTGGAATTAAGGTATGAGAAATTAGCTTCTTTACTTGTGGGCATGAAGCCGCATGATACATATTGGACATGATTGATATATTCAATCTAACATTATTGAAGAAAAAGAAATAAAATAAATTGTTTGTGATTGCGTCCAATCAAGAATCAAACACGTTGATGATGAAATGAGCTAGTATTGAATAGATATTCATGCTTGTAGGGAATATGGTCCGGAATGATTGGAGGAACGATGATGCAAACCATCATATTGCTCTGCACGATATTTCGAACTGATTGGAAAAAAGAGGTAAATTTTCAAATATCATTTTAAGATTGTTACATGTACTAGAAAGATTCGGTAAAATTATTTTGATGTAATTGCTCAACAAACAAATCGAATGCTTTAGGAGTTGTCAAGTTGGCTCCATCTAGTCGACATTGTGGTGTTCAACTGCATCTAGTCTTTGGTCTCGACTCTCGACTCTAAGTTGTGAACTCATCCTCTCAAGTGCTGAGCTCGTCGACTCAGCACAACTTTGAGATCTAAATTAATTGGAAATAAAAATACAATTTTAATAAAATTTAAACCTGTGGAACAGAAGCCATGTGGCACGTGATAGTTTTTTTAATTTATTTTGTGAGTTCAGAACTGACGGTGATAAATTAAATTAGATTTTTATAACGTGGAAAAAGATTTGAAAAAATCTTTATGTTTAAGATTGGACATTAGCTGGGGAAATTATCAATGTGTATGGCTGAATACAAATATGTATAGTTAAGGTGAGACAACCGGACAGTTATGGAGTATAATAAATAAGGATACATTTATGTACGAATCCTCCATGCTTGTGTTGTTCCTAAATTTTATGTCTTTATAACACAGGAAAAATTCACTTTATTAACCGAGAAAAACTCACAATACAATGTTTTTCCTACTCACTACTTTTTCAACTGAAACTAGAACGCTCAACATACTTTGAGTTGGGATAGGCTACAAATTTCCCTTTCTAATGGAGCAAATATTATTGAATTATTTTTAAAATATTCTATTACACGGTTAGAACCGCGAGCTCCTACTCAGTGTGTTGAACTATCTAAAAAATATATATATTACGTGTTGATATTTTTTTCATTAACCCCCTATTTGACAATCATTATTTTTAAAAAAAAATGTTTTAAATAGTGATTTTTAAGAGAGTATGTAGTTAAAAAGTAGGGAAAAGTTTTGGGTTTACGTGCATACTATTTTACTGTATAAATGTGTAATTGAAAATGAGTATATAGAAAAAAGAGTTTTCAAATATGATTGTCAAACATGGGGCTAACTCGCGTCTCAGGAGTAGGCCGAAGACCGGCCCATGGCTCAATTATAACTTAGGACGAAACAACCTTTTTATCTCACACCCTGAATCGATCCTAAAATATTGGACTGTGGCGCACTGAATTTCATGTTGGAAATTTTTATTGGAAATTGGTTGTAACCAATT